TTTTTCTCTCAAGTGTTTCCTTATTATTATTTTTTCGTTCATATGTTTTTCAGTTTGCTTTTGCGCGCATTTTCTTTYGTAATGCATTACATTTATTAAATATCATTTACTTCTAACCAGAGAAAAGAAATGACTTTGTTTCAGTAAAGTCTTAATCATATTTTTTAATGCAGTGATTCTCACAAGCCTTTTTCTACAGTGCAAACATCTTGTATGTGGTATTCTGCATGGGTGATTGTTATGACAGCTACTGWTTGAGCTAAACCGTAGACTCAACAAGTCCCAAAAAGTCATTGTACTTTGTCAACAGACCAGTGTAACAAAAATGCTATAACGTCGATAAACACTATTTGACACTGAGAGCAAGGGCACTAGGACACTATATAGAACTTAAGGTGAATTTGATTAACCATATTAACTGGACGGTTGAATATTACTGACGTAAGGAGCATCGCGCGGTCGCGTTGTTGTTAGTATAGTACAAACAGAGTCAAGTACGGAACGGCCGTTAAAGAAGTAACGCTCGTAGGCTATTCAAACCGTTTGACCTTTGGAATGAAAACGTCTGCACTACAACAGCGAACGAAGACAACGAAGGAACACGGACACAAGATAAGTAAACAAGTATATAACGTTAATTTAATTCAAATAATCGAAAGGGGAAAAAACCTATAGAAATCCAACCACATTCGGTGTCCTAGTGCCCTTGCTGAGAGCACCTAAAATTTAGCAAATAGACCCCTTTCGAATTCCAAATTACCGCTGTGTTTCTTGATTACAGACTCATTTGCACAAGGTTAGCCTCGAGTTTGTGCAGAATAGTCACGGGTTCCAGTCAAGGTCCGTTGAGTTTAAAAGTGTTTGTATTGTTGAAGTTGTGCATTCTTTACTTTACCGTTGGTATTTGTGAATATTCAAACACTGATACGAGGCTAACCCTGTGCAAATGAGTCTGTAATCAAGGAACACAGCGGTAATTTGGAATTCGAAAGGGGTCTATTTGTCGAGTTTTAGAGGGTGATAGGTTGGAAAATGACAACGTCCTATCTGAGTAAAGGTGCGAAGTTTTACAGACGTTTGGATTGTGCGAGGCAAGTTTGTGTCCCTCCCTCCTTTTATTGTTTTTCCCTCTTGTTCTTATTATTTTATAAATATCGTATCAAATGGTTATAGTAGACTGCCAACATTCTCTCTTTTTTACCATACTAAATATAACGTATGAGTTTTTATCCTGGACCCTCTTCTATTACTTTTTTTTACCACAATTGTAAATTTTCTCGCGCGCTGATTGGTTAAAAAACGTCGTAAATAAGAGGCCATACCAACAAATGGCTCCATGCAAGATTTCGTGCAGTCTATTTCCTAGAGTTTTGTGAGTTTTGTAGTAAAAAACAAATTTACGATGGTTTAGTGTGGTATGTCCTCTTATTTACCACGATATGACGCCAAACGTTGGTCAAAATTAGTTATGGACCCACTCGGCTTACGCCTCGTGAGTCCATAACATTTTGACCAACTTTTGACGTCATATCGTGGTAAATAAGAGGACATACCATGCTAAACCATCGTAAATTTGTTAAATTAAGTTTTAATAATTATGAGCAAATTAAATGATGATAACCCTATAAATGACATATAGTTTTGACATGTTCACAAAAAATGTTGCAATTTTTCAGTTTGATTGAGAAAAGTGGGTCCATTTCGGTCCAGTAGATGTGCATAAACTTTATTAATAGCWCTACAAATGGCAATGGGATTCACTTATTTAGGCGAAATCTTGTCATCTTGTTGCACGCGACTATCTCCCGCAAAAAATGCTAGTGAATTTGTACAATGCACTGATTCAGCCTCACCTTGACTATTGTTGTTGCCTTTGGGGAAATTGTGGTGCGGGCCTCAAGGAGAAGCTTCAAAAACTCCAATATAGAGCCGCACACATTGTTGTCAGAGCTGGTTATGAGGTCAGATCATCCCAAATCTAACAAGACTTGCACTGGTCTGACCTTGAAACAAGAAGGCAGCGACAAAAATCGGTTCTTAAGTACAAAATTATCAAGGGTGATGCTCCGATAGGCTTTCAGGATCTTTTTACCAAAACTAGTGAATTANGCTTTTCCGTTTAAAGGTAAAGTAATATAAAAAACACACGCTAATGTGATAGCTGTTTCTTCGGCGTTACATATGTCTTAATTAAAACAATAGATTTCAAGATGGCCGCCGTATCGGAAAAAAAGGTCGATCTATCACAAATCATGGTTGGCATAGCGCTGGGTCGTAACTAAAACTTACAGTTACATATGAAGCGTTGATGTAGTCAGAATCCTCATCTCCATCAGTTTGTTCGATAATCACACGAGAATGGTCAACTGTTGAAAAATAAGCACAACGTTTCGTGTTATTGCAGAAAAGAATACTATTGAAGATTTACATTCTTACTCACAAGGAATGGCGTTGCCGTATCGATTTTTCTTCTTGTTTACTGGTTTCTTGGCGACTGTTTTTGGGAAGGAATGGGTGTTTGGTAAATTCTGTCAAAATATTAATGATAAAAAGTTTTAAAATGATGCTCCAAACGTTTAATAGCTTGGCTACGAATAAAAACTTATTGGCATTGCGGAGACTGCATGAGAATCAGCAATTTTACTTTACAATGTAACATTTTTTACCTTATATTCTTCTTTCAGTCGTGCGTATTCCGTGGCCTTGGTGGATTTCACATACTCAGAAAATTGTCGTATTGGGATTGGTTTGGCTATGTCTATAACTTCGTCATAGACGTCATCTTGACTGTAAACAGACGCTCCTTATTAAAGAAAACAGATATTCATTTATTCACATTGTCAAAGGTATGTTATCTAGTTATTTGCTAAACACTTTGTCGTATTTGATCTTTCATTCTATTTTTTTGCCAAATCCTTTGATATTTGACATTAAATTCTACGAAAAATATGAACTTTGCAAAACTAAGATGGACTTTCAAAGAAAATGTGCTCGGACCGACAAAAGGACTTAATAAGAACGCTTTTTTTTTACTAGTGCCTAACACGTGAAACGAGGAAGCCAATATACCTGCAGTTGGCGGAATAGCCATGTCTTTCTGTACTAATTCATTTTCCTGGCCTTCATTTACATTCCCACTTTCTTGGTCTTCAATATCATCAAGTGGGACCGTACTATCTTTCTTCGAATATCTTTTTTGACGGCGACTGGAAAAATAACATATACCGCTGAATAAAATTACGTACGTCTTGCTTTAACTCACTTATATTTGTGGAAGTGCGCATGCCTGAAACTGGAAGGATAACGCGTTTTCTTATGCATGTTTGAAAAATTGCTAGATAGTCAAGTACTTATCTACAACGAGAATTATTACATTATTGTCAGTGAATTAAAAAAGAGTTTTTAGTTACCGTTTTATAAGCAGTATAAGAACTACCATTACCAAGATGAGTAAAACGATGACCACGGCTCCTACTGCAGGTCCAACTGGGGAAATGCCACCCTTTTGCTCTGTGAACATAACACACTCATTAAGTAATTTCTTTCGTAAGAGTTATCTCATTATTATTTCCGAGTCCTAGTTTTATTACGAACTCGCTCCTTCAGGTCACCAGACATACTTTCATGGTTACTTTGCTTTACACGATAATTTATTCTTAGTATCCTAGAACCAAATGAATGTACCCGATGATCTGAAAATGTGTATGCAAGAACACTTTGATAATGATGATGCTCACACAAAAATATTCGAGACGGCATTTTTGCTGGGATTCATCTTGATTAGCTGTAGACATTTTCGTTTGTCGCGGATCTGATTGGTTTCGAATCAATATCGAATTTTTTGTTGCTACTCTTGCTACTCTTGCTTCTGTTCGGCAATCGTGAAATCTGTGAAATTTGTGAATTCAAATTGGTGAATTCAATCGTGTTGGGCAACATCGTATTGTTGCAAGATGCTATCAAAGTCCAGGTTTTATCAGTCCACGTTTTTTCAGTCCAGGGTTTATCAGTCCAGTCCAGTCCAGGTTTTACAACATGCCAAAGTTATTCACTTCACCTTCAGGGAATAATTTTTCTGTACACCCCACCCAACACGTCAACACGTCAACACGAAAACATAGTGTTACCGCTGCTTTCAACAGATATTTCGGAATTCATACCTTGAGTTACTTTAATTGTAGCTACCACTACTGCTTGACCTGCGTAAATTTTCTTTAAAAAAAAAAAAAGAGATATCAGGCAATAAGTTCTTGAACGATGTATGTTTAACTATTGTTACCTGTACATTTCTTCCTACATATTCCACATGAAATATGATCAATCCAGTTTTAAGGCGTAAGGGATTGTAATACAAGGAAGAAAACTTTATTATTAGCATGCATCATGGGGCTGTTTTAGGGGACGCTGGAATATGACTAAATATATGACGCTTGAATATGACCACTGGATAGTGAAAAGTGATAGGATAGGACCTTAATTGTCATCGTGTAAAGTTTCAAATTTCTTCGAATCTCAGAATGCATAAAATGTCAACTGGCTGACAAAGCGTCCCTCAAAACAGCCCATAATGCAAAGCTTTTCTACAATTTACTTCGGAAAGGCTAATATTTTCTGGCAGATCGACTTACTCCTTGATTTTCTGTAGTGATCGCTCTCTCTGCAATAGTATATGTTTTGCCTTTGTCTAGTGGTACATTTTTATATTGTCCATATATTTTATTGTCACCAACAGGAAAAGGAGACTTGATCTCGTTGGGTTTCAGTTCTGCTGTGACGTAAAGCTCTTGTGCATCTTTGTAGTCACTGATATTTGTTGGTAAGTCACTGACATTTTTGTTCCCTTTGATTACGATAACTTGATATGAACTATAAAATGTTATAGTAGATTTCGATGTTAATAACAAATACGGGGTGTACGCTTTACTTTACAAACATAGTGTAACCGTAGCTAGATACTAAATTATTCGTGGCAAGCGGCAACACCCTCTTGATAAAGGTTGATTTTAAATTTTAATTACCACAAGCTTTTTCAACTCTCAAAAAAGTTAAATATTATTACTACCTGACTGGTCCATTGACAGGATCAACTGACCATAACGGAACGTCAAATTTGTTCTTTAGAGTTATAGAATTCCCTGTAGGTTTGACAGGGTCTAGAATATGAAGTATAAATGATGCTTTAGGCAGCGAGACAGCAAGCAAATCCGATATCATTTATGGTACTTACTGTCAATGTTTGTGTCTTTTTTACTTGATACACTCTTCTCACTCTTACCACATGCTGTTGATGCTGTTACCCAGAATTCATAGCTTGTACCAGGCACAAGACTGTCGATCACCATGTTAGTTCGTGTTCCATTCTGCTTGTGAGTGCTTGAAAATGAGTAATTGCTCCAGTATGGTTTAGAACCTTTAACTTCAATCTAAATCGAATGAAGACCATATGTTCATTTTAAACACAACACCAAACCTAGTGTTCAACCAAGTATTTGATTTGACTAGTCTAGATAGCTTACGCCTTACCGTATATTCATATACAACCAATGACAATGGCAAGGGTTTTTCCCATCTCACTCTAATAGAAGTCTTTGTTTGACTCTCGGCTTGTACATCAGTAGGTCTACCAGGTTCTGTATCAAGCTGTGTTCTGAAAATAGTTTCAAAATATCTTAAGGATATCAACTCACGTGCAAGCGATGTCAAAATATTAATGGTACTTTTGGGTCCTGGTCCAACACTGGTATGACCCCTGACAGATACTGTATAGTTTGCACAAAATCTAAGGTTGTACAGTATGTACTGGGTAGCCTGTGTTGTAGTATTAAACATATCCTGTAATGATCTTCCTGAACGACCTCCCACAACAACTATTGACCAAAAGATCTCGTACTTAGTAACCACGCCGTTACTTTGAGCTGTTGTTAACGGTTGCCAGGTAACCAGAAATGTTGTGTCGTTTATCTTTGTTGCTGTTGTGTATTGTGGACCAATATCCGGGGCTGAGAGAAATAAAATATGAAAATTGAAGATGTGTGGATATTAAAAACGTTGATTTAATGGGGGAAAAAACAGATAAAAACATAAATTAAAAGAAACATTTTATAACTGATTTATTCCTTACCATCCTCTAATGTTCTTATTATTGTAACACTACATGCAGGACCCACATACATAGTGTTTCGTACAGCCACTGATATGTTGTAGCTTGTGTACTTTTTGAGATTTGTCAAAGTTGTCATATTAACGTTACCCACGTCAATCTGTTGTTGTGTTCCGCCCTCTGGTTTGTAGAAGATCCTGAATCCAGTCATTGGGCCATGTAGCAGGTCTAATTGTGAGTACTGGAATAAACCAGGTTTACGATTAATCAGAATTCAAAATTGTTTTTTTATATTGCTGCTACAGTTTTAATCAAAAAGGCAAATAAAAACCGTGTCTGCATGGAGCTTAGCCGCGTAGTCCAATCGAACATATTCTACGGGACACTAGACTCAAGATTAGATTACCTATATGCACCTTGCTCAACCTTGCTTATATATATCTCGAGAAAAGCCTATACGCAACTTGAAAAATTATAGCCTCGTAGTTGATAATAATTATTTTTACCTGGAAATGAAGCTGTATACTTTG